ATACACAAAAGAGAGGAAGTGGTAGAGAGCCATGACCGTAAAGATGATGAATAAAAGTAGAACTGGAGATCCCTCTAATACACAAAAGAGAGTAAGTGGTAGAGAGCCGTGTTCATAAGAAAGATGACGCATAAACGTAGAACAGTAGATCCCTCTGATACCCAAAAGAGAGGAAGTGGTAGAGAGCCATGACCGTAAAGAAGATGTTGCATAATAGTAGAACTGAAGATCCCTCTGATACAATGTACTTCTCCAATGTACTAAGAATAGCAGGTCAGGGGTTTATTCCGTTGTTGAACCGGAAAATTTTTTCTCTGACACAATCATAAAATAGAAAATGTACCGTTTGGAATGGATATACGCGTCTCATCCCCGAAGACACTAAAAAATAACCACGTTACATTTTACGACTAGAGAGTGCAATATTATACAATGATGTTAACTCTGTACAAGGTTCTAGAGCCTCTCGAGATAGGATTTTACAGAATAAGAGGCACAGTTTATTGATATGTGCAAATAACTGTTGACCCAAGGCTTGAACAGGTTGAGATTTTAGTGATCGGGCAAACATCACCTTGGGAGTCGGTACCACAAGTAGCGATTCGTATGAAGAAGCAGCTCGAAAGGAACTTACACGTTACCCAATGGAATACGAAAGGAATAAGGGTGATTCACTACAATGTGCGTGGCATGGCGTGTGTTTATATTTATGGGCTAACTATTTATTATGTACATTATTTATCTTCGGACTTATACCGCCATCTTTGTTTTTTATTATCATGTTTCGATCTTTCTTTTTTCTTCAGGTTTCTATCAACCTGCACAACCTTGAAGGAATTTCGTACTGAACCCTTAATTTAAACAACGGGAGTAGATGGATATCTCGACCTGATCGATCAGTGATTGCTCACTTTGTTTCTATTGACTCTAAGTCTGCACTAACCGGTCCAAGGATCGAAACTGTGACAGAACTGTCAACGCTTTGACTAAAAGTAAGGGCAACACTATTTTACGCAAGTAAATCGCGAATGTATGACGATTTCAACAAGGCGGGATTTTATATATATTTTTTTTATATAACCGAATAAAAGGAACAAATATACTAGCATGCATACAACATAAGAATATATTGAAAGTAATCAGAACGTTCACTATCCTCCCATGAGATTCAGGTTCGAATCTCACCATTGTCGTTCTGTCTGGAAGGTGAATCCTTGATGTTATCGGCCTGAGGACAATTACCTGAAAACCATACAATGGGTTGATCCAAGCCTTGTGAGTGAAATTGGGTAGACGGAAATATTTGGGAGTATGTCGGTGGTTGTGCTAGCAGGAAGACACAAGTCATCGTGACCGAAGCTTTGAGAGTACTGTCCTTATTCAGACTGTTAATCACGCCATATAATGCACATTCTCCCAGAAACTGTAACTAAGGGCTGCTCAGCATAAAGTTGGGATCTGTAGGTCTTGGAGATAAACTAGCGAGAAGAGAAAATTTGACTCATGATCAATCTCAATACAGCCATAGAACAGACTATATCCCAGTCATATCTATCTATCTATCTATCTATCTATCTATCTGTAACAGTCATTTCATATCTATGTATATATCTATGACAGTCTTTACATATCTGTATATGTATGAGAGACTTTATATATATATATATCTATCGATGAGGCTTTTTATTATCTATGACAGTCTTTTCATATCTATCTCTCGATCTATCTATCTATGAGGCTTTTTGTTGTGTCGTAAGTAGGAAAGTTTTACAGACTTATAGAAAATAAGAAGTAGTTTATTCCGGATTGGTACACGGTTGAGAACATAGACTAATGTAATAAACTGTTAATCGTTAACTCCTCTCACTCAGTAAGAGAGAGAGAGAGAGAGAGAGAGAGAGAGAGAGAGAGAGCTATATAAATAATCTTAGACCAGTCCATTTTGTGGGAGTGCTCAGCTACTCCACAACACTTTTCATTATCTATCTATCTATCTATCTATCTATCTATCTATCTATCTATCTATCTATGTGTATGTGTGTGTTTGTGTGTGTGTGTGTGTGTGTGTGTGTATTTAGGCAGAAAATTCTCTTTTAGGCATGTTTGATTGAATAAATATACGGAAAGATATTCGTGAATATGAAAGGATTATGATAAAAATAAGCAGACATAATGTTCGTAATTTATGACAGTATTTTCATTATTTATCTATGACAGTCTGTTCCTTATCCACCTATCTATCTCTCTATCCACGAGAGTCTTTTCATTATCTATTTATGACAGTCATTTGATTATCTATCTCATACTGTTCAGATCTAACTATCTATCTCATACTGTTCAGATCTATCTATCTCACACTGTTCAGATCTATCTATCTCATACTGTTCAGATCTATCTATCTATCTCATACTGTTCAGATCTATCTATCTATCTATCTCATACTGTTCAGATCTATCTATCTATCTATCTATCTCATACTGTTCAGATCTATCTATCTATCTATCTCATACTGTTCAGATCTATCTATCTATCTATCTATCTATCTCATACTGTTCAGATCTATCTATCTATCTGTTCAGATCGGATGGTTATCCTTAATATTCTCTATCTTGTTCACGAATACGACTTTCAACGCCTTGGTATTGTGGGTACTGCAAGCTGGTGTCCCTCTCAAGTAAACACAAGATACCAGGGTATTTAAATCTAGCGGGTCAGGTTTTGTGCTGTGGGGATGACGTGTTCGTAAAATATTCTTGATCAGCCACTCTTGAATCACAAGGGTGGTGCCTGAAAGAGTCGAATATAACTGGAACACGTACGTCAAAGACCTCAATCTAGGGCTTGACCATCGTATCCAGTACCACAATATATACGATGTCATTGACCTGGATGCTTCCTAGGAAAACGTGGAACGGCATGACATTGCCCTTGTGCCCCATCACCCCCCTCCCAGAAGAACCACAGATGATGTGAACTAAGTAGGTATGATAGTTGGTAATTTCTCGCATGGACAGCGGAGAATTACCTGACGACATTGATTGACGCCCAGTGCTACGAGCAAGGTATGTCTCATATTATGAAGTCGACTAAGTCCGACATTTATTTCAATATATTTTTTGTTTATACGTTATTCTTAAAGATACAAATATTTCATAATATATGACGTCATTTGTTTACGTTAAGATACGCTTTGAGCAGATATGAGCGTTCGAGAGTAATCATGGGAAATTTGTAGTTTAAAAACATTAATTTAAACTTGCCAAACACGCTTCGTCTGTAGCTAAATAGTATAGCACGTCAAGCTATATGACGGTTCCGTGAAGGATGCAGGTTCGATTCCTGTCCTAGGAATCATCCGGGTCAATGCTACCGTATATATCGTGGTGTTGGATACGATGGCCAAGTCCGAGATTGAGGACACTTAGTTTCTATGAGATTTCTCGGACATTCAGGCCGGTAAATGTTGTTAATACTGTTCATTATAAACAGAGCATTTACTTAAATATCTGTGTCTATAAAAAAAATATTGGTCCATTTCATAATATATGAATAAAAAGAGACAACAGGAAAAACTATACTTAACCGACGCGTTTCGTCCTCTGAGGGACTTTATCATTGCAAGAATATTTACACGCTGTTATGGAGTGGTTTCACAGTGGAGGTTTGTATTTGTACTAAGTCGGTCCTAAAATAGGTTCGACGTACAAAACGTTAGGAACTTGATTATAATAGGTAATGATGCAGAGAAATCTAGTTGTGGTCGCTGATACTTTAGTATCCGACTAACGGTCGTCCGGCATCGACTGACTGACCCCCACTGAGCGACTTCTACTACTCCTACTTATTATAGGTGGGAGAGTCTATTAACAATAGTATAGGTATGTTCCACTATAACACACACACACACACACACATATATATATGTAAAAGAACGAAAAGAAATCCAAACGTTAATTAAATTAATTTAAAAAGGGCTCAATACATGAAGTAGAGCAATAAATAATTATTATAAACTGTTACACTGGAACATGCAAGTTACCGCGACAAAAATTGTATCGACGTGCCACCATTATTAACCTCCTGACCCGACGTCTTTGAACGTCGAAAGAAATATGCATTTTGTCGCGGTAACTTGCAGCTTACACACATATGAAAAGAAATGTAAAAATAATGAAGGAAATCGAAAAAAAAATTAAGAAGAAATGAAAAAATTAATTAGGAATAATAATTAATTAGGAAACAAAGAAAATTTAAAAAAATAAAATAATATCAATCCTTTAAGGAGTGATAGGGATGATGATTCTTGTTGTGTCGGAAACCTACCACCCCTCTTGAAGATGAACTTGTCTGCGAGCAAAGACTTTAAATAGTGGCATGTCAAAAGACAGATAGACCGAGCAGTTCTTAGCTGAGCTAGTTATTGACTACTCAGGCGATTTCTGTACCTTTTTACCAACCTATTAAAACCCTTTTTATTGTTACGTGTTATTTGGCGTTTGTCTCTACTAACTCCAAATCAACATCATAACAATTCTGGAGTCTAAGAAGGTAGCTGTCAGCCTGTGAGCAGCGTCATTTTAGCCTCTATTTAATTTGTTTCATCCTGGACTTCTTTTCTCGCCTTTTATTTAATCTTCTTTCTTCCAACAACAAAAAAAAAACAACAGTATTCTCTCTTCCAGTATTCCGTTATTCTTGTATTCTTACAAAAGCTAAACAAATTATTAACCCTTTGTAGATAGAGCCTCGTTCGGAGTTTCAGTGCTAAGACAGTCCTTTTCACATGCTCACACTTGGAACACACACACACACACACACACGCGCGCACAAAAATGATGTAAAATCACAGAACGTGACAAATTATCATAAAAACCGCCTTTGAAAGGCCCAGATGTGCAAGAAATACGAGAAACAATCTGATTGGCTGGTACGAAAACCAGCCAGCTAATCTCGACGTTTGTACTATCGGGCTGACGGATCGGCCAAGTTGTTTCCTTCGTCATTCGACCTTTCGGCCGATATATCGTCCCTGTCGTCTCGTAAGGTTTTAAGAAAATGGAAAATGTAAGAAACAAGTAAAGATTGCTGTATTGTTACGGAACATCAATCCATCAAGTAACCTACACCGCTGCTTGTAGCTCTTTCTGGCAATCAAGGACCAAGGTGAAACACCCACACGTTTCGCATATCTTTTTCGACTAGTTTACCAACA